GTGGTTGAGGACACACACCACCTACCCACCAGGTCATCTTGGGTGAGGTCTCCTGGTGAGTGGTGGGAGGGCCTAGGTCTGGCCCTGGCCATCACCCAGTACCAGGGCACCTCTCACATTCTCAGGTGGCCTGAGGGGACTCTGGTCTTTGTATCACCATGAACGTGATGCACTGCATAGTTAGAAGGGTAGGAGTGTGGGCTCCGGAACTTGACACACCTGGGATGAAAGCCCTGCTCTGCCTCTTCCTAGCTGTGTGGCCCCAGGCAAGAGACATGTCTCTGGGCCCAGTGGCCTCACCATAAAACAGGTAATCCTGGGCTGTTGTGATGATGAAGTGCAATTATCATGCACAGTAATGAGCCTGGGGCTGTACATGTAGCAAGCGCTCAACCAGTAAGAGGAGCTGGTAAATTTTTTTTGGTAGAACATTATCTTAGTATATTAAAATTTTTTTGTTTTTGTTTAAAATATATCCTACATAAGGCAGACTGTTAAAATCTCCTGTATATTTTCAAAGAATAAGAACCACATACTTTGCCACGACCTTCGAAAACCTCTGCATGCCGAGTACTGCCTCTATCCCCTGACACCACAGATCTCCTGCCTTTTGGGAAGTCAGGCTTTTCTTCCCTGTTTTTCCACCTAACTAGCCAGGAGGGCTGTGGCCAAGTTTCCTAAACCTCAATGGGAACCTGACTCAGGCCGGACTCTGCCGAGCCTGGGAGACAGCGGGGTCTGCTCCCTCGGGGTGAGTAGAGCCCCAGGAGGCCACAGTAAAGAAGGACACATCTGAAGAACCTGACCTTGCTGCCCTCCAGGTAGGTGGGGCACAGGTGCGGGCTTGGATTGAGGTGCTCGGGCAGCCTGCAGAGGAAGATGCTGGGCTCAGCTCGAGCCAGAGACCTTTAGGACATGGCCGCAGGGAGGGAGGCCCAAGCTGTGGCATCGGCACCTCTTGGTCCTGGGCCAGGGCAGCATGGAGAAATGACCAAGCCAGAAATGCAGTTCAAACACAGTGTGCAGTGAGATTTATGTAAACGTCAACAGGCCTGTCGAAATCACAACAAACAGTTAAAATCAATTTCTAACATTATATATTCAGTGAAGATAGTTTATTTTATATGGGAAAGGAGAAGGATCTTTGTCTAAAGCAGGGATAGCTGAGAACAGGTTATAGGAAAAGAAGAAAAAGAGAGAATTTAAGAGGAAAGGGACGTAGAGAAACCTGTGAGAGATGGAAGCTCTCAGCCCAGCAAAAAGCAGCACCGTGAATGGGTGTGGGCTCCGCCAGAAAACCCCAGTCCCAGGTCTCTAGCTTCTCCTCTGAAGTTAATGACATGCCCTGCTGAAGGGTGACCAGCTGCCTGGTTGTCCTGGGACTGAGTTCCCGGATGCAGTCCCCTCAGAGCTGGACCAGGAGAGACTGGGGAACCTGGGGAGCTGGCCACCTGCTGCCAGGTGTGCACATGCTCTCTTGCCCGTGAGTTTAGGTTACAGAGACGAGGACCTGTGGGCAGAGGGGTGATGGGACTTCCTGAAGACTGAGTATGGAGAGGGCAGGAGGGGTCTGCGGGGTGCACAGGCCCCATGGGAGCAGTTGTGTGGTGGGGCTGCAGGGGCTGCTGTGGAGGCACTATTGCCACAGGAGCGGTGCCGTGATTGGCCGGGGACCTTGATGCCATAAGGGCTGCTGCTGCTGTCAGAATAGGAGAGGGCGTGGGGTGGGGAGGGGACTGCCAGGCTTCCTGGGCCGCTCCTCCTCGTGGGCCTTCCCTTCACAGCCTTCTCTCCCCCAGAACCACTGAGCGGGGTCTTGGAACCCGTGGGAACATTCCAGTCCCAAACCTGGAAGACTCCCCCCTGCGCCTCCACCAGACCCAGCTTCTCCACCCAGCAACAGACAGCGGAAGGCTGCTCAGCCCTGGACCACTACTCTGTAACCGGGCAGGTAAGGGCGCCCAGCTATCACCCGGGAGCATCATCACTTTACACCTTAACAAAGAAATAGAACCCATAAACTCATAGGAAATGACGTTTGTCGAAATTGTGTCTCAGTTATTTAGAGCAGGAGTGGAGGAATTGTAATGTTCAGTGTGTTTCTTACTGAGGGTCAGGTCAAGCCTAGAAATTGATTTGGCAGCTATGGGAGCCCTCCTGTTCCTGGAAAAGCTTCTGGAGTGTCTGAGAAAGGCTGTACCCCCATCAGGCCTGGGCTTGGCTCACTGAAGCCCTGTAAACCATGGGGGTTCTCCACTGGCCACCGATGGGAACTCAGCTAGGTTCTCTCTCCTCTCCCTTAGATGTCTAGAAGTCAGTTGGGTTCTAGGAACCAGCTACCGCCTACATTTATGTGGGTAAATGAAGTCAAAGTACAAAGCGCCCCCCCGCCCTGAAGATGGATCTCCTGCCTCTCCACTGAGCCTGAGGTGTGGACCCTAATCTGGATGTGGGGCTGGAGCTCCTCCCTACCCCAGGGGTCTGACTCCTAGCTACCCAGTAGGACACAGCAGAACTGCCCCATAGGGTTTCCAAGGCTGTAAATCTCATGGAAGTAGACTGCCACCTCTTTCTCCCAGGTGGGTTCCAACTGCTGGCCTTTTGGTTAGCAGCTGAGCGCTTAGCCACTGCACCACGGGCTCCTCGGCCTACACGAGATGAAGTTAAAATGCCAGAACTTCCTTCCAATGACAGTGCAGCCACACCGGCCTCTCCAAAGGGCTCCAGGCAGCCAGTCTTCCTTCTCCTGTGTAAACATCACCTGTTGCTCTTTTAAAACTTAGTTCCTGCCTAGGTTCACATTAGAATGCTCCCTGGTAGTGAGCTTCTAGCTGAGGACCTGATGATGGAAGCTCAGATATATGTCTATAGAATTGTTTTAACTGTAAATAGAAAATAAAGGAAGAAAAACTTGCGATTTTTCCCAGAAGCTTTGTATTTTACTTGTCTATGAATAAGATTCATGTGTACAAACATGTGGGAATGTTTGCACTCCTCCTGTGTTGCTACATTTAGCATGAGTTTACGTACACAATGACTCTTTAGATGCTTCTCACTGAGGGAAACTCCGTGGCCATCTTAAATAAACACCAATGCCATTATCTGAGGGCAGTCTATTTTCTGTTCTCATCCAAACCTCAAGTCACAAAGGGAAAACATCCATACGTACAGGAGATACCAGTTTTTTCTACCTCTATCCAGTATGTGTATCAGGTGCTTTGATTCACACCAATAATAACCATCTGTTAAAGCCACATCTACATCTTTAGGAACTTTAACCAACAGACCTAAGTGCATACATTCTCCTTGACATACCTAGTTTAGTGAGATTTCATAGCGAAAAGCATTAACTGGTGTGCTCCCAAGACAGAGGTGCAGTGGAGACCTTGCCCTTTTTTAGGGGGTTGTTAAGATTCAGGGCCGTTAGGAGTTTACTGTCCGTTCTCCCTCATGCTCTGCTGGGGGCTCATCATGCAAGTCGCTGCTCCATGTGGGGCAGATCAGGCAAAAATCACTTAATTTTGCTGTAAATGTTTACAAAGAGGAATAATTTTAGCATGTTCTTAATTTTAAGAGATTCTTCTCAGGCCTTGTATGAAGTTTCAGCTCATTGTAACAAGACGAGTAAGGTCCCAGTCAACAGGTTATTACAAGGTTGATGGATAAAATCAGCTGTTTATGACATGGTTTGTACCTTTAAGTAAACAATTTCCTACAACAGTTTAGCTCACATAGCTCCCTATAACGAATATTCTACAAGTTTTAAGTCAACCATCCCAGGAACTTTTAAAATAATTCAGGAAAGCTGTGCCAGTTTGTAGCTTAGTTTCTCTCTGCTGCAAACCTGGTCTTCTATAGATGTTTTGTGATGACGGGGCCAGGATTCTGCAAACCACATCTCTCTGCTTTGTCAGCTGGATCCCTCCCTGTCAGCCTCAGTTGGAGGAAGAAGGGGGCGGGGAAGGGAGGGGGGCTGGCTCCTTCCTGTTTGGTTTTGTGGGTGTTGCTTTATTCCCAGTGCTGCTCCACCCTTCTTCTGGTAGCAGCAGTTAGATCCAGCTTGCAGTGTTGCCAGTCTGGTGGGGCACTGCACCCCCTCTCCCCAAGACAGCAGCATCAGCCGGCTGGTAACCCTCCACAAAAGCCCAGGTCCAAGGCCCGCGGAGCCCCTCGTCTGAGCTCAGGGCCCCCAGCACCAGCTCAGCAGCGCTCCTCTCCCCAGAGGTCTGAGTTTCACCTCCACAGGGCCTCTCTCCCAATCTCTTAAGGTTTAACCATTCTAACCACTGCTCTTTGTTCCTGCTCTGTGTTTGCCTTGTGGATCGAGGGGCCAACCCTCCCCACCACCACCCAAAGCTGGTTCAGATGTCAAGACTGATGATGCCACACACATCAAGATGGTATGAAAAAGTTGACTATTCCTGTGAGGCGTTCTGGGGAGAGCAGCGCCAGCACCCAGGCCAGTTGGTTTGGCTTGAGTGAAAGGAGGGGTGAGTGGCTTTGGTGTGTATTGTGGTTAGGGGGTGAGGGTTTCAGTGCACAGGCAAAGGCCAGGGATTGCACACTTTGAACTTTCTGACGCCCAGAGGGAGTGCCTGGGCTTCCTTTCAGTTTGCTCAGATGGTGGAGGGGGGGGGGGTTTGAAAGGGGGAGGGGAGGGGAGGGGTCAGGGTTTGAAAGCTATCACAGTCAAACATCAAAAAACAGGGTCAGTTTCCCCCGTCCTAGGGGTGGTACCTCCTCCTCCCAGTTGCTGCCTCCATACTTGAACATTCGCCTTTTAGTTACTTAGATATACCTAGCTAACGATTCTTTACAATTCTCTTTGTTAAAATAATTGGTGTGGTTTCTGGCTCCTGCCTAGAATCTGACCAACATAAAATCTCTTTGGCATTCTTTGCAGGCTTAGCATCCATTCAGAGGTGTGGTAGGTGGTAGGTGGGTGGTATGTAACCTTTTCAGCGGCTACCTAACAAAGTGGAACGGTTGACTAAGCATTTCTGTGCAGAGGATCCCATACCTTCATCAAACTTATGCGTCTGTAACTTCTGCCTTCACTTGCTCCTTCTAGACAAGGAGGAATTAAAGAAAATGGGGCGTATAATTTCCTCTACACTGCATGTCTTGGAAATCTCATGTCAGTACATGAAGAATATCCTTATTCTTTTAAACTGTTGCATGGTATTCCGTAAGAGATGTCCCTGACTGTTTAACCACCCCTGTACTAACAGCCATTTTTGTGGCTCCCAATTTTTGCAGATGAGCAAACTGAAGCCTCCAGAGATTAAGCGGTTCCCTCTAAATAACATCACCGGTAAATGGCAGAACTAAGATTTCTATAAAACCATAAGGTGCCAGTGTCCATGCTTAAAAATATTTTTATTTTGAAATATTTTAAGGAAACAGTTACAAAGAACCCACCACACTGTTGTGTTAAGTCAACATTCTGACACAACTGCATCCATTTTAAAAAAGAAAACAAGTGAAGGCCCCATGTCCCCTCCCTGATCCCATCAGCATCTCCTGCCTTGGGAAGGCAGGGCAGCGCCTTTTACACTCCTCCAATGCATGATTTTACACTCTGATGTCACAGAATTTGATCCACAGAAAATACATTATTGTGCAAAACAATGACAACACGGTTTACTATATGCCAACGATGCTTACATCCCAGCCACTATTCTAAGCGCTTTCCATGCATTATTTCATTAACCCCCCCGAGTCACTTCAGATAGAAGTTGGTACTACTATCTTGTTTTACAGATACAGTGAAACACAAGTCAGTTTAAGTAATGTATCCCCGGATACGCGGTATGCTTAACTTTACAGAAATGGTATACTGCATTTGTTATATAGCTTCTGCAACTTTCTCAATATTGTTTTTTATTTGTATTGAAAGATACAGCTCTAGTTATTTCATATTCTCTTTCTGAAGTACCAAAAACCATTTATTTCTCTGTTCTTCTGCTGATGGAAACTTAGGCTTTTCCCAGTCTTGCTACCTAAACAATGCTGCAAAGCACAGTCTTATACCCGTCTCCTTCCTCACATAAAGGAGTTCCTCTAGGGTGCATCCAGGAGTGCAACTGCTAACTGGTGGAGAACACACAACATTACAAGATTTTGCAAACTGCTTGGCACAATAGTTGGCACAAGTTCCACTCACAGCAGGGTGAGTTCCCATTGGTCCATACTCTTACCCACATTTGGACTTTTAAAAATTTGTCAAGGTGATGAGTGTGAGATGGTAATAATTTGCATTTCCCGTGCTTCCTTCTCTGCACTGGCCTCTGGTGGCCGAATGCACTCAACACCTGACCAAAAGCCCTTCGGATCCCCACTCCTCTCGGGACCACAACTGTCCCAGTCCCTCTGGCTCTCCCCGCCCTCACTTCAGTTGAGGAGCAGAGGGGAGGGGGGGCAGGGTTGGAAGAAGCCTGCATGTTCCCCAGGCCAGGATGAGGTACAAGATGAGAACTGGTAGCTGGAGCAGTCAGAAACTGTCAACTGGAGCCACACAGCTCAGAACCATGCACAGCTGGGCTCCTAACCAGCAGGAGTGTGGCTGTGGGTGGCTCCTAGTTAACACTTCACTCAGGGGACCCCTCAAAGAACTCTAATCCTAACTTAGCTGAACTAAATGCAGTTCTTATAGCCCTTAACAGAGGCATCTTTGTGCAAAATCTCCTCTGCATGGCAAACAGATAAATAAGCACCCAACCCTGGCCTTCAGAGAGCTCAGTGTGGCTGCAGTAATGGGCATGACTGGAAACCCAGACAACACCCAGCAGTGAGGTGCAGGCCCTAGGAGAAGTAGGGCCTGGGGAGAGGGCTCAGAGGAGGGATGAGGGTCAGGGAAGGCTGGGCCTTGCAGAGTGAAGACCTGGGCCAGCAGGGAGACGGGTGGCACTGCAGGTGACGGGAGACAGTCCAAGAGGCAGGACAGTGCAGGGGTATTCAGGGAAGGGCAGTGAAGTCCAATCAAACACTATTACACCAAAATGTTCAATAGTTAGCTCCAAGTAGTCACATTATTACTATTTTTTCCTTTTAGCTAATCTATATTTACTAATATTCCTATAATAATCACATATTACATAATAACTAAGATGATTTGAAACCTCAGGCTGTTGAAGAGACTGCATCAGTACAATCCCCAAAATATTAACAGCTCCCCTCAGTATAGAGGGATTTCTGTTGATTTTTACTTTTAGTCTTTGTACATTTTAAAATTAGATTTGAATGTTTAAAAATAAGCGTATCTTATTTTATTAAAATGGTAGTAAAACACTCCTATTGGAGCAGGAACTCTATGAGGTGCTGTGAGGGATGGGGAGTGAGTGGGGGGATGAAAAACACGGACGGAAAAAAGGAGTTTCCATGGTTGTGGCACCAACTGGACTGGGAGCTGCGCCTCTGTGAGGGCTCTGGTCCTACAGAGCAGCTGCCCTGCCCAGCCCAGCCCAGCACCTTAGTTAACTGGCCCTTGTTCTCACCAACCCCGGAAGCCAGGCAGCCAGCCAATCACTCATGTACACACGAGGAAACAGATGCAGAGGTTCAGTGACTTAGATCACTCTGCCAATAAAAGGCTACCCTGAGCCTGGAACCCAAGAGCTGATGACTCCAAGGCCCTTCCCATGACCCTAGGCTCTGCCCAACCACTTCCACTGCCAGCTTTTGGCACTGTCCCAGTATTGGGACACCTGATTCCTGGCCATGGGCAGCCACTGCTGTACGAAGGCAAGCGGGAGGGTGGGTCAACCACAGGAAGGGGCTCCTCTTGGCTGAGCAGATAGGGTGCTTCAATCCAGACCACCAATCCTTCCCGAATACAAAGCTAACAGTACAAGGCTGAATGGGCACCACAATACCAAAAGGAGATGCCTTCCCTGGAAAGCTCAGAGCTGAGACATGTGCTCAGAGTCAAGACAGACACACTGAGGGGCCTGTCCCAGTATCTCACCCGCCTCCACCTAATACCAGAACCTTCGTTTTCACCTGCCCATATGGCAATCCAGAGGACGAGATTACCTGTACTCCACTGAAGAAGATATTTTCTTCCTCCACTTGCCACTGAGACAACTCTGTTTGTGCCTATAACAGATATCCAAAAAGCCAGCTGTGAAGGCTGAAGCTCCAGCCAGAACTCCCTGGGAGGCATCTAGGGAGACCAGAAGGAGTTCTTGATGCTGAAGCTGCCGTTTTTAAGGTCAAACAGAATAAGCACCATCACAGGCCAAACTTAAAGAGAAACTTAGGATCCAAATGGCCCCTTCCCAGCAGCCACAGCCCACCATGCCATAGACGTTCTGTCCAACCACAAAGGCCAGGGGTCTCTCCTTTTAAAGCTGTGGAAGGAATCCTGGCTGGGGGAGCCCTAGGCCATCGAACAAAGGCCACTCCTGGGAGTCTGAGCCTCCTGAAGGGTCCCAAAGAACATGCTGCTGCTCTTCCCTAGCATCTCACTTCTCAGTGGATAGGATGGGGACTGCCTGAGTTTTTAAATCCTCAGGATTCTCTGCCACTAGCTTCCAAAATAGGAAGGGCTGGGCCCTCTGTGAAGGTTTTTCCCATGCTGCCTTCAGTTAAGGGTTCTCTAGCAGGGTAGCTTGGAATGCCCCTACAATGTCAGGCCCCAGGCTAGTCTCTAGTATGGTTTTTCACATGCCGAGCCAAATTTGAAGACCACCTGAAGGTCTTCCCACAGTCTCTGCATTTGAAGGGTCTCTCCCGAGTATGCAATCTCTTGTGGCTAAGGAGCTGCGAACCTTTCTTAAAAGATTTCCCACACATGTTACATTTGTGGCACTTTTTTCCAATGGGTATGTTCTGGAGTCCAGTGGGCCTAGAACTCTGGTCATTAGCTTCCTTACAATTTTCCAGGGGCTTCTCCTCACTGGGTTTGAATTCCTGTAAACTCAACCCTGTGTCCTGGCAGGAAGATAACCCAGATGGGCTGTGTTTGGACTGTGCTGCTCTGGTGTGTTTTCTCTCATGAACATAGAGGGTGTTTCTTCCCATGAAGTCTTTCCCACACCACTGGCATTTAAAAGGTCTCTCTTTACTGTGAATTCTCTGATGATTAACAAGGCGATAATTTCTATCATAAGATTTCCCACAAAGATTACATTTATAACGCTTCTCTCCACTGTGTATCCCCTTATGATCTAAAAGAGTTCTTTTACGAGTAAAGGTTTTCCCACATTCTTCACACCAAAAAGGTTTCTCATTGGTGAGGATTTTCGGCTGCAGATCTGGAGTTTTCTCACATTCATGGTATTCGTAACGTTTTTCAAAAGAGTGACTCCTATGATGTCGGGAGAGGTTGGAACTCCATCTGAAGGCTTTCCCACATTCCCTGCACTGATAAGGCTTCTCTCTGGTGTGGATTCTCTGATGGATGAGGAGGAATGAGAGATTACGGAAGGCTTTGCCACACTGGCTACATTTGTAGGATTTCTCAGTGGTGTGACTGCTCTGAGAAGCTTGGAACACTTGGTCCTGACTAAACAGTGGCTCCCCCTCAGGTTTTCTTTTAATGGCATGCCTCTTCTTATGAACAATAAAGGCTGACCTATGGGTAAACTCTTTCCCACATTCACTACACTGGTATGGTTTTTCGCCTGTGTGAATTCTCTGATGATCAATGAGGGATTTCTTTCGAGTAAAGCTTTTCCCACATTGCTGACACAGAAAAGTTTTCTCCTCAGTGGGGGCCTTCAGGGGCTGGCTGCAGCTGGAGGTCAGCCTGAAGTCTTCCCTACATTTGCCTTGTTCATACAGCTTTTTCTCCTTGTGCATTCTCATATGACGAGTAAAGTTTGACCTCCACCTAAAGGTTTTCCTACATTTGGTACATACATAGGGTTTCTCCTGGGTGTGAATCCTTTGATGTTCAAGAACATACGATTTACAGTGGAAGGATTTCCTACACTGGCTGCAGTCAAAGGGTTTCTTCCCACTGTGGTCTCTCAAATGATGATCAAGTCCTGAGCCACAGGTGAAAGCTTCCCCATTCTGATTAGCTTCAAGAAATTCCTGCTTAGAATGGGTTTCCTGGTGCAGACGATAGGCTGATCTGCGTCGGAAAGCTTTCTCACATAAACTGCACTTGTAAGGTTTCAGTCCAGTGTGAATTTTCTCATGTCGCGCACAGTTTGAGCTCCACCTAAAGGCTTTTCCACACACCCTGCATTTAAACAGTTTCTCTTGAGCGTGAAGTCTCTGATGGCATTCAAGATGGGAGCTATGACTAAAGGTCCTCCCACAGTCACTGCACTTATACAAGGTCCCCACCAAGGGAAGTCTCTGTCCATCTTGGTGATGAAAGCTAAGGCTGTAGTCTTTCCCACGTGCGTCCTTTTCATTCCCTTTTAGTACCACATGAATTCTCTGATGTAGGCTAAACCCTCTGATCATGTGTCTGAGCCCTTTCTCATGTTCCTTGTAGTCACAGTGGTGTGAACTTGGTCTGAAGTATCTGCCATAGTCACATTTAAGAGATCGCTTTCTTCCAGCAACTCTCAAATGTGTTAAATGTTTTAGGTTAAGACTATTACTTCCTCTTGATTCCTCAGATTCTTTTCCTGTCCTGTGACTGAAATCAGTCTTTTCTTTCTTAATTGTCATTAGCATGGGGGGTCCCCATTGCTCCTTTAACCCGCTCTTCAGTTCAAAAGATTCTTGAAACCCTGTTCCCTCAAAAACACTCATCACAGGGCATCCTGATTGCACTGCCAAGGTTTCTGCTTCTTCCAAAGGCTGATGTTTTAAGATGAACTTGTTTGTCTTAATCTGGAGCTCACCTCCTGACACAAAATAAAACACAAGAGAATGTACTCTTTTCCCATACTTGGAACTGAAGAAAGCACCAAGGGGCAATAAATGCCATGACCCTGGACAGTGAAGCTTTTTGTCTGACTGCCAATACCTTGACAAAATAGTCAGGGATAAAGCACAGTACAGAAGAGAATCTCAGATAACAGAGGAGAGAGGAGGAGAAGCAAGATGACACTGCAGCTAGAGATATACAGCAATCAAATCCAACTGGAGAATAAAAAGGGTGGGGAGGGGAATGTTAAATAGCAGGAGCACCTCCCACTGCTGCTCAGTCAATTCTGACTCATGACCACCCAATGAACGACAGAATAGAACTGATCCATAGGGTTTTCTTGGCTGTAATCTTTACGGAAGCAGACTGCCAGGCCTTTCTTCCATGGTGCTGTTGGGTGGGTTTAAACTGCCAACCTTTAGGTTAGTAGTCAAGTTCAAACCATTTGCACCACCCAGGGACCTAACAGCAGCAGAGGGGAGAGGAATCATGGCATGGGAGCATGATTGGAAGATACTCAAAAGCCAAGGGATGGGGCTCCAAGAAGTGTAGCTGAAAGACCTGGACATCAGGCCTATCACAGACAGAAGGACCAAGCAAAGAAGGCGATCAGAAGTGGGAGGAGGGCTCCTAAGACCAGGATGGGGCAGGTGCAGGAAACTCAGCAGGAGTGCAGGCACAGGGTGGAGGAGTAGCATTAATGAATGGAAAGGAAAGGAACAGTGAAACCCTCTGGTGAGTAAGAGCTGTTACTGAGGGCTGGCTGGGAGAGGGGCAGGGCAGGAAATGAATGGCCTCTAACAGGTCAGCCTGGAGGGGAGAGGCCCAGGGACCCAGTACCCCTTAGAACCATTGTCAAAGACCTTCCTTCCAGCAAACAATGGAGTAAGTCCCCAGCAGACATGAGAGAGGGGCAGGACCTGGTAGGTTCTCTGGAACTCACCTGCAGAGGCAGCACCTGGATTCTCTCTTTGCTGAGCTCCCTGGACATTCAGGCCCCACGGCCCCCTTCCCTCCAGCCAGGAGATCAGAGCAGGTTTGGGGAATGGCCCCACTGCAGAAGAGAAAGAAATGGCATGGGAAAGTAGATGACTTACATGGAACTACTCTTCAGGACCCTCTCAGGCCTGTGGCCCTGGTAGGGAGGAGGGAAAGGCCAGGGAGGCAAGTGGAGTAGGCTAGGACAGGATGCCCAGATATTTCTGACAGCGCTGAGCAGAGATCAGAAAGGCTGAGAGAAGTCACAGCCAAAAAGATCCCTAGGACTCTCCGGAGGTGCAAACCACAACAACTCGATCAGTTAAATAAGCCAACATTTTTTGAATGCTACATGGTCTAGGAACTTGACACATACTACCTTTAATCTTTACAATGACTCTGTATAATAGGCATTATTATCGCCATTTCTCAAAAGAGGGAGACTGAGACTCATAGATTAAGTGGTCTTGTTAACAGTTAACAGAGCCAAGATCTAAACCCAAGCCAGGCCCCTTTTAATGCACTGCAATGAAAACCAACAAGGCAGAAGTAAAGGTGGGTAGAGGCATGGGGACATCGAGGCCTTACCTAGAGAAGCCACGTTCCCATAATTCTCCAGCATCACATCCCTGTACAGGTTCTTCTTGGCAGAGTCCAGCCATCCCCACTCGTCCTGGAAGAAGATCACCTCCACATCCTTGAAAGTCACAGCCTCCTGAAAAAACACAGTCCTGTGCCCTAGAACTGGTCCACAGCTCCTGGCTTTCAGGATGGGGCAGGGGGACAGGGCGCTCAGTAAGTACAGGATGGATCCAGCAAGGGTGAAAGAGAAGACCGTCTCCCTGCAGAAGAGCTCTGGGCTCTGGGGTGATAATCTGGGATGTGGGTCACAGGACAGAGAAACCCAGGACCAGAGGGAGCTGCAGCTCCCCGCATTACACAGTGGTGCTGGAACATCAGGAAGGACCAAATGCTGTGGCTCACCTGGGGCTCGTCTGGCAGGGGTCTGGTTGCCATCACCCCATCTCCTGGGCGCCCCTCTCTTTGGGGAACGGTAGGCACCTGGGCAGGAGGATCTGAGGGAGAAGAGCGAGCCCTGAAAGAACAACCCAGCATGGGGCACCCCACTGAGAAGCCCACTCTCTCCCAGACACAGAGGACTCCTGGGCCCACGAGCAGGCACGGACTGTTTTTAAGCACCAGTTTCACATTTCCCCAGTGTCTGTGGGGGCTGCAAGTTGAGGCAGAGTGAGGATGTGATGAGAGGAAGAGCTAGACATGGGTCACGGAAGGGGTGGAGAGGACACAGAGCAAAGGCCAAGGACAGAAAGGGATTCTTAACAGAGGAAAGAGGGTGCAAAGACGACACTATAGGAAATTCGGGAGGTGTGGCATGCTGGGGTCTCACAGCCAGGTGGCAAGTACCAGATCGCCCAGGCAGGTGGTCATGCACTCTGATTTCATAGGGAGGCTCCAGGTGGTCCCACAGGGCAGAGGCGCTCCTGACAGGTGAAGCAGGGGGCCAGATCTGTGCTGTTCGCAGGGCTCCTGTGCCCATCCAATGCACATCTGGGCTCTGGGCAGGGGCTGGGTCCTGGCGAGGAGAAAATGTTGTGAGACGATCCCCATGGGAACCAGAAAGCAAACTCAGAGAAGAGGCCACACAGCCAATCTCTAAAGGGCAGAGGCCCAGGGAAGGGTGAGGCAGGCCCTTTATTACCTACAAAACCAAAAAAACCAAACCCATTGCCACTGAGTCGATTTTGACTCATAGCAACCCTACAGGGCAGAGTAGAATTGCTCCATAGGGTTTCCAAGGAGCAGCTAGTAGATTCGAACTGCCAAACTTTTGATTAGCGGCCGAGATCTTAACCACTGCGCCACCAGGGCTCCTTATTATGTACAGGTAGAGGGGAAAGGACCCTCTTAAGCCCTCAGGCCCAGTCTTCTGCCTCCTTGGGTTTTAACGGGCCGGGCAGGGAAGGCCACGGGAGAGTCAAAGTGGAGACAGATTCCAGCTCCACATAAGCAAGCGCTTGGAAAGTCAGTAACAGCACTGCTGTCAAAATCAACAGTGACGCCTCCCTTTTCCTCTCCCCCTCCGTCCCCACTCCTCCGGCCTGGAACTTAGATATGAGAGAGAAGGAATCTGTCCCAGAGAGTTGAACAGATAACGGCTCATAGCAGAGATGCAACATCTACCAAGTGTCAGGAACTGCTCTAGACACCGATGTGTAAAGTGACCTTGATGAGGCAGGGTGGCCCCCAGATCACAAACGTGACTGAAATATTAACACTGGTAACAAAAGCAACATCAATTCAGAGGTCCACCATGGAACCACAGAAGAAAAACTCTCAGGGTGGACTGAGGGCCCATCCAAACAGTGACCAGAAAGGAAGAGGTCTTTGCCCTGAGACGTGGAATAGTTCTGGTCTCGGGGAAAGGCTGTCTCTGAGGGAGAGATGACAATAGGAAGCTACAGTCAGTGAACTTTGAGATTTTCTGGTCATGTGGCCAAGACATTCTCTACACTGAGATGAATGAGTCTTAGCCTGAGGCCACTAAACGGCTGCTGCAGAGTTACAGATTAAAGATGATGAGCTGACCACACTGGTGCATCTTCTGTTCCTTCCCAAATCTACTAAAGGGGGAATAAAGAAACAGTAAGAATACAGAGGCATGCTGGTGGCTCAGTGGTAAAGAGCCTGGCTGCTAACCAAAAGGTCTGCAGCTTGAATCCACCAGCAGCTCCTTGGAAACCTTATGGGGCAGTTCTACTCTGTCCTATAGGGTTGCTATAAATAGGAATCAATGGCAACGGGTTTGTTTTTTGTTTTTTAAGAACATAGAAGCATCGCCAAATGAGGTTAGGTGCAAACTTTCCCAGGTCCTAGGTTTTCACATTTTGGTAACTCAAGTAAACCACAGGGTGATTCTGTAACTTCATATCGTCTCGAGGACTTCTGTACATTTTTAAGAATTTGGGGGACTCTCTCCTAGGCCCAGGTTTTTGTTTTCTAATTTCTAACTAGCTTTCAACCAGTTACGCCTTCTGTTCACTGGCAGTGCTTTCATGAAGTTTTTAAATATTACCTCTAGTGCTAAATGAGTTGATTATAACCAAGTCGTAATTTTCTTACTGCATACCTTCTTCTTTTATAAATTATTTTTAAATCTTTTTAAATATCTCATTGAGGTTTCCCAACTTCCTCATCTGTGGCTTCTTCTCTTCCTCCCTACCTACCCCCACCCCCTACCCTCCCACGCACACAAAACAAATCCTCATACTGAGGAAGAAGCAACATGGTACATATAGTCTGCTCTTCTGGGTCTTACCTTGTATTCCTTGTACTTAGAAGCCATGAGTCCTGAACCTAAGTGTCCCTCTCCTTACGAACAAAAGACATGACTCCCACCTTAAAGGCCTGTGTCAGTATCAAGTCAAATTAGATACTATATGAAGATGGGCTTTGGACACTGTAAGCCACAGTGTCCAAAGGCTAGTTTACTATTATTGATGGATATTTGCTGACCCTCTTCACAGAGCTGATGTCCTCTGGGAGGGTGGCAAGGGCTACCTGCTAAAAGATCCATGGCTCAGGGCCAGTTGTCAGATGTTCAAGTGCAGAGGAACAATTCAGCTCAGAGGCCCACCCCATCCCCGACAAGCTGGCTCCCTGGCAGGTAGAGCCGCCCTCACTCACCCTCTGTGATGTCCCATCGAGGTCTCTCTGCAGTTCCTCCAGCAGGGCCACGGCCTCCTCCCCGTTCCCAGGGCGATGAAGCTGCACCCAGGTCCGGAGCTCCCCGGGCAGGATGCTCAGGAACTGCTCCAGCACCAGCAGCTCCAGGATCTGGGCCTTGGAGAGGACGTCAGGCCTCAGCCACCAGCGGCAGAGTTCCTGGAGTCGGCTCAGAGTTTCCAGCGGCCCAGAAGACTCGTGGTAGCGAAGCTGCCTGAAGAGCTGGCGGAAGAGCTCCTGGCCAGGACGGTTGAGCGTCTGTGGCCTGGCCGCTCGCACTGAAGTGTAGCCATCACCCTCTTCCTTCTTTGCCACCTGAAGACGCCCTCGCTCTCTTGAAGCCTGGGCCCGAGGCCCTGGATAGGCAGCATACCACCTGCCTGGAGGCATCTCTCACGTTCAGGGCCTACCTAGACAAGCACAAACCAAGTCTGCTTTAGCCGTGTAGCTGCTGGGTCCTCGGGAGCATTTTCTCAGCACTGGCATGGACAATGTCATTTGCTGGAATGTCAGAAGTCACTGGCAAGAGACTAAAATAACCAATATTCCTGTTCAGAAGAGAATGAGAGAATGATGTCTATCATACACGGTACCACTAGATGCTGTTAGTTGGGACTACTTTTGGCTGTATAAGAAGAGGGCACGTGAGTATAAGCCTTTGCAGAGACATGTCTGCCAGTACCAAGCAGACCAAGGCGAGACTGTGTAGTCATGTACTGGGATAAGCTAAGAAAATATCCCAGAATACAACACAAAGAGACACAGAGATGGAAAATATAAAATAAAAGCTAAGAGACATGGGGCACAGATCTAGAAGTTTCAACATCTGTCTAATTGGAATTTCAGAAAGAATGGAAAAACAGGCAATTATATGAAGAAACAATGGCCAGAACTTTAGAATCACAGCGAGTGTTGAGTCAAAAACAATCCCTCAACACACACACACACACACACGCACACACACACACATACAGATGCAAAACTTCAGAACATCAAGGATAAAGAGAAAAATCCTAGTATCAACAGAGAAAGAAGACTGATTATCTACAAATGACAGCAGTCTGTAATCAAGCTTATCATCAACAACACTAGATTCTATAAAACAAGGGTGCAATATCTTAAAAGTGGCAGAGGAAAATAACTCTTACCCTAAAACTACATATTTAGCCAGGAGTAACAAGAAAACAAAAACATTTCTAGGCATACCTAAAGACTCAGAAAATTTGCTAACCTAGATCCTCAGTGAAAGAATTAAAAGATGTGCTCCAGTAAGAAGAAAAATGAACACTAAATAGTGGGATAAAAGAAAATGTAGCAATCACAAAAAGACAAATATTATACTATCCCACTATTATAAAAAGTCAAAAATAGATATACACACAAAAAGCAAACTTCTTTGATGGTTACCAGGGATGGCAGGGAAAGGGAGGGAGAATCACTTTCTTTGTAGTAGACACTTGTTACTTTTGGTGATGGGAAAGGCAATCACAAATATGAACCACAGCCTCATCTAGCCTAAGACCAGAAGAACTAGATGGTGCCCGGCTAACCACCACCAACCAAGCATTCTTACCAGGGATACAACAGAAGGTCCTGGACAGAATGGGAGAAAAATGCAGAACAAAACTCAAATTCCTAAAAAAGACCAGGCCTACTGGACTGATAGAGACTAGAGGAAACCCCAAGACTACCCCTAAGATATACTCTGAACTTGGAATTGAAGCTATTTATGGAGATTGGCTTATAAAATAAACAGTATCACCCATGAGTAATGTGCTTCCTTAAACAATTAACTATATGAGACCAAACAGTCAACATTTACCTGAAAGCAAAGATGTGAAGGCAAGGAGAGGAAGGGAAGCTAGATCAATGGAAACAGAACAAACAGAATGGAAATAATGAGAATGCTGACATATTGTAAAAATTGTAACCAAGGGCATGGAACAATTTCTATACAAATTGTTAAAGGGGAACCTAATTTGCTGTGTAACTTTCACCTAAAACACAATAAAATATTGTTTTAAAAAATGTGGGATGTAAGTCAATAAATCAGAAGAGCAGGTTGATAAAAATAAGTATGGTGAAAAATATAAAATTAAAATTTCAAAGTCAGTCAGTTGTACATGCTGCAGTTATACTTTTGTCCTAGAAGACAAGGAGGCTAAAGAACCAGAGTACCTTACCCAGCAGTAACCTGAGCCAGGGAAAAACACATCAAACACCTGACTCCATGGTAATGTCAACTGAAGCCCATTAACTAGTAAAAAACAAACAAAAAAACCCATTAATCATTGTTTACACTCCCCAGCACGTACGCATTGTTCTCCCTACATGTTTTAGCATTAGATGTTATTGTTGTCAGGTGTCATCGAGTCAGTTCCAACTCATAGTAACCCTATGTACAACAGAACGAAACTCTTCCAGGTCCTGTGCCGTCCTCACAATCGTTGCTATGTTTGAGCACATTGTTGCAGCCACTGTGTCAATCCATCTCATTGAGGGTCTTCCTCTTTTTTGCTGACCCTCTTCTTTACCAAGCATAATGTCCTTCTCCAGGGACTGGTCCCTCCTTGATAACATGTCCAAAGTACATGAGATGAAGTCTCACTGTCCTCGCTTCTAAGGAACATTCTGGCTGTACTTCTTCCAAGACAGATTTGTTCATTCTTCTGGAAGTCCACGGTATATTCAATCTTCTTTGCCAACACCATAATTCAAAGGCATCAATTCTTCTTTGGTCTTCCTTATTCACTGTCCAGCTTTTGCACGCATATGAGGCAGCATTAGATGATACGGTATATAAACACGCAATTCTCACCATTTTGCACGGACTTCTACAGAGGTGACTCTTCGCGCTTCGCTGTTGTGAGACTTCTGGCACGGATCTCCGTATGTAAGTTCCCTGATAAAGCCTTGTCTGGTCAACCTGGCTTTTACTGATTCTTTTTTCGAAATCTGACCTGTGCCCCTCAGTTACTCCTCCTGCTGCTGGTCTGGTGGGGTGTGACATTGGGCAATCGTAAGCCTGGATAAAGCTAAAAACTTCAAGGGCCTTTCAAATTCTGAATAAAAAGCCCAGAGCACTGTGAAAAGATGGAGGCCAGACAGGCTTGTTCAGGTATCCTAATGCTGCAGGGCTCCCCCAAGGCCTTGACTAGCTTTGGAAGAGGACAAAAGAAAAGCTTCATTTATCAACTTGTTGACATTATACCACAACTGTGAACACCCAGGCCTGGGAAGGAACCTGGGCTAGATCTTACTCTCAGGCATCTTTCCGCTAAAGCTTCGTACCTTAACCCAGAAACAGAACAAACAAAATGAAAATAATGAGAATGTTGACACATTGTGAAAAATATAACCAATGCCATGGAAGAATCTGTGTAAAAATTGTTAAGTGAGAATCTAATTGCTATGTAAAGTTTCACTTAAAACACAATAAATATTTTTTTTAAAAACCCGCACACAAATGTTTATAGCAGCTTTATTCCTAATTGCCAAAAACTGGAAGCAATACGTTTTTCAATAAGCAAATGGATAAACAAACTGGTATATCCATACCAAACCAAAACCAAATCTGCTGCCCTCAAGTCAATTCCAACTCATAGCAACCGTGTAGGACAGAGTAGAACTGCCCCAAAGGGTTTCCAAGGCTGTAATCTTTATGGGAGCAGATGGCCACATCCTTCTCCCACAAAGCAACTGATGGGTTCGAATCTCAGACCTTACAGTTATCAGCCAAGCCCTTTAATCACTGAGCCACTAGGGCTCCTTGTACATCCATACAAAACCAAAACCAAACCTGCTGCCATCAAGTCGATTCCGACTCTAGCCACCCTACAGGACAGAGTAGAACTGCCCCATGGGGTTTCCAATGAGCAGCTGGTAGATTCGAATTGCCGACCTTTTGGTTAGCAGCCGAGCTCTTAACCACTGTGCCACCATGGCTCTGTACATCCATACAATGGAGTATTACCCAGTGATAAGAAGAAATGAGTAATCAAGCCATGAAAAGACATGGAGGAACCTTAAATGTAGCCTGTTAAGTGAAACAAGCCAATTCAAAAAAGCTACATACTGCATGCGTGTAACTATAGGACATACTGGAAAAGGCAAAACCACAGAGACAGTGAAAAACTCAGAGGTTGCCAGGGGGCCAGGGCTGGGGCAGAGGGATGAACAAGTGGAGCAGAGGGGATTTGGGGCACAGTGGAACTATTTTATATAATACTGCATTATAGCCCAAAGAATAAAATAAGTCTCCATGAGCATACAATGACATAGCTAAATGACTGAATAAATACATAAAAGGCGGAGAAGGAACAGAGGCATCAGGGAAATAGAAAATCACCATCAGAACGCCACAGTAATAACTGTTGCAGGCAAGATCCACTAATGAATGCTAATTAGTGAAAGTTTAAGAAGAAACAGGATATTCGCATAGTCTCAAAGTATCTTCCCACAAATATTTATTAATTACACAGGGAAAAACACTAACTTCACAGCGATGATAGCTGGCGGACACCAGGTGATCAAGGTTAACATCACTAATAGTAAAGATATATGACAGTATCCTCAACCTAAGCATGAGAAAACATCAGACAGAACCAAATTGAGGGACGTTCCAAAATGTAATACAAAATACTTCAAAAGCGTCAAGGTCATGAAAGACAAAGACAGACCGAGGAACTGTCTCAGACTAAAGGAGACTAAGGAGACAACTAAATGCAATGAGAGATCCTAGATTGGATCCTGGAATGGAAAAAGGGCACTAGTGAAAAACTGATGAACTCTGAATAAAATCGTCAGTTTATAGTAGCATACCAATGCAAACAGCTTAATTTGGTGATTGTACTGTGGTTATACAAGACATTAAAGTTAGTTGTGGAGCCATGGAGGGTGGATGAACCCCTGAAACTACTGCCCTGAGATAATCTTTAAACCTTAAACCAAAAATATTCCCTGACGTTTTCTTAAAACCAAACAATAGTTTAGCTTAACTAGTAAAGAAGGTCTGCCTTGAGCATTATGCTCTTTTAAGACCTATCTATGAGTCGCAATCGACTCAACGGGAACGGGTTTGATTTTTCTATACGGGATCAAACTGACAAAAACAACTTGAAAAATTAGATCTGGTGGCGCAGTAGTTAAGAGCTCGGCTGCTAACCAAAAGGTCGGCAGTTCAAATCCACCAGCAGCTCCCTTGAAACCCTGTGGGGCAGTTCTACTCTGTCCTAAAGGGTCACTATAAGTTGGAATCATCTCGACGCAATGGGTTTTTGTTTTTATGTCCCAGGCACTAAAGTCATAGCAGTGAATAAAGCAGACAAAAAGCACTGCCTTGAGGGGCTTATGGGAAGACAAACAATCAAATAAATAAAATATATGGTATGTGAGATGGTGGCAGGTGCTATGGAGTAACATCAAACAGGGAAAAGGAATAGGAAGTCCAAGATCAGGAAAGGAAAAAAAAAATAAGCTCAAAATTTCAGTCTTGTAAAGAACATAACGATTTACCTGAGGGAAATGGGGATGCTCACAAGAGCTCTTTCAGATGGTTTCTAATATAAAAATACTAGTAGGTTGTGTTTTATTATGATTTATATTTTTACTCTCAAGCAACTCTGCGACATCCCTGAGTGCACGTGCACTCACACTTCCTGGATGCCAGGAGCTACGGAAAGTCTAACCGCAGAGCAGTGAGTATTTTTCACGCTTTCATCAGTTTCATTTTAAAGTACATATCGAGGTGTACCTTCAAAACAGTCCTGTATTTTTGGTTTACAATAAGAAGGGACTTTTTTTTTAACCAAAATCTGTCTACCTTTCTTCAGCATTAAGATAACATATAACCAGTTAGCAATCTTATTCGTCAGTCCCTGAATACGTACACAGACATACACACGTATAGAAGAGATGGAAGTTCCCTCAAACTGCTTAATCAAATTACTGCTACAACCATTGGCTGGCCCTTCGTTTCAAAACAACAGAACAAATACTAGTGAGTTTTCAGTTTTCAACTGCAAACAGTCTGAAACAGAATACTGTTTTTTCCTGGCCCCCCCTTTTAAATTAGGACACCATTCTCTGATTTCTTAGGACTGTGCAAATCCGAGTAGAGTATAATTATTTGATTAGAGCTGTACCTAGAGTTTAAAAGCTGAATTTTAATGGAGTAGCTCTTTCATTTTGAAGACAATCACCCTAACAAGATTTTGCTATTTTTCTGCACAAGCGTCACTTGTTTGGCATTGTAACAGACTTCAAGGAAATGTGAACTACGGGAAATAAACTGCAAACAAAATGTTCTCTTTTAATTATACTTGCAAAAAATTGTTCCAGAGGTATATCATAGTGCTAGCATCAATTTTAACCAAAATATGAATAAATGCATTCCAGTTTACAATACTTTAGTTTTTAAAAAGCAACAGTGTGACCCCATTTCATAATAAAAATGTGCATATACATGTATATGCGTTTGCATAATTACGTACAAAGAAAAAAATGTCTGAAAGTCTCGGAACGAAAAGATATACCAGTGGGGTTTTTTGTTTGTTTCGCTTTTAGTTTTTGAGTGTGTGTTGAAACTATACAAAGCAAAACATACACCAATTCAGCAATTTCTACATGTACAATTCAGTGACATTGATTACATTCTTCGAGTTGCAGCCATTCTCACCCTCCTTTTCCGAATACCAATGGTTTTTTGGATTGCGGTTACTTTTACTTTCTTTACACTTACCTGTGTTATCTAATTGTAATGAATACGCATTACTTGCATAATGGGGTAAAAAGAGAAAGCACTACACCAAATTCCCTACACCGGTGCGCCCCGGGAGGCGAAGGGGTTCACGATATGCCTTCATGGACCGAGGAGTGTCCGGGGTGGAGGCCGGATCCCCAGCAAGAGTACCCCGCGCCCGGGGCGCAGCCTCGAGGCCGGGCCGCATACGTCGCCCCCCGGGCAGGGTCGAGCGCCCCACCGCCCTCCCAGAACCCCGTGCCGGCAAAGCAACCCCAACGCCCGCCGGGCCCCGCCGGGCCGCTCACCGACTCCGCCGCGGGCCAACAGGCAGTCCTCCCGCGGCGGCCACAGCAACCAGCCCCACGCCTACCTCCCCGCTGGCAAGGGTCGCGCACGCGCGTCCCCGCCGCGGGTCCTCCGCCGCCTCTCTAGGAAGCTGGGAGGGCCCAAGTCTCTGGTTCTTCCTCGCCGGAGTGCGGCGAACTGAGGCAGCCGGGCTTACCCGCGAGAGCCTTGAACCGCCTCTGTTCTCCAACCCCCTCTGCCCCACCGGACGCTCGCACTCCACTCGGACGTCCATTCGGGCCCCAGCGCCCTGTCAGCCTTGGCCTGTTTTCCCACATTCCTTCTCATGTGGGGGCAGGACTGGCCTTGAGGCTTTCCCACCTCTTTCCCCTTCCTCCTCCAAAGGCTTCCCCACCTATCCAAGGTAGGAGTCAAAATAAGAAACCACAAGATGTAGCTGAGCGGTTCTGGCAGGGAGGGAGCTGTTAAGAAGGCCACTCATTCTCTTCTGTGGCCCCCTATGATAAAGGGAACCAGACAAGTCCAGACCAAGATATCCTCCCACCCCCAGCAGCCACCTCGGTGGCGCCCTTTAATTTGTTGTTGCTAATTGCTGGCCAGTCGGTTTCAACTCATAGCGACCCCACATGACAGAGTAGAATTGCCCCATAGAGTTTCCTAGGCTACAATTTTTACAGACAGAAGCCCAGAGCACACAGTGGTTAAGGGTTTGGCTGCTAACCGAATGGTCGGAGGTTGGAACCCACCAGCCCCTCTGTGGGAGAAAGATGTGGCAGTCTGCTTTCATAAAAATTACAGCCTTGGATCCCGTTCCTTGGAATATATCCTAGAGAAATAAGAGCCATCACACGAATAGATATACGCGCACCCATGTTCATTGCAGCACTGTTCGCAAGAGCAAAAAGATGGAAACAACCTAGATGCCCATCAACGGACAAATGGATAAACAAATTAGGGTATATCCACACAATGGAAAATACTAGGCAACGATAAAGAACAGCGATGAAGCCGTGAAACATCTTATAGCATGGAGGAAGCTGGAGGTTGTTATGCTGAGTGAATTTAGTCAGTCACAGAAGGGCAAATATTGTATAAGACCACTATTCTAAGAAATCAAGAAAAGGTTTAAACACAGAAGAAAACATTCTTTGATGGTTACAAGGGTGGGGAGGAATGATGAGGGTTATTTACTAATTAGATAGTAGATAAGAATTATCTTAGGTGAAGGGAAAGACAGCACACACTACAGGGGAAGTCAGCCCAAGTGGACTAAACCAAAGCTAAGATGTTTCCTGAATACAATTAAACACTTTGAGGTCTGGGGACCATGCTTTCAGGAGTTATTGAGGTCAATTGGCATAACAAAGCTTATTAAGAAAACGTTCTGCATCCTACTTTGGTGAGTGGCATCTGGGGTCTTAAAAGCTTGCAAGCAGCCATCTAAGATCCATCAATTCGTTCCAACCACCTGGAGTAAAGGGGAATGAAGAAAACCAAAGACACAAGCA